TGGGACCCAGCCTCACAAGCCAGCTCTTTTATTTCCTTCCCTTCCACGTCCCCTACATCTGGTCAGGGACCAAGTCCTTCAAAATTCCTTACAAACATTGCTATGTTTCTTCATAACAGTTGTCTTCTAATTATAAAAAGGATCTATGTTCAGTGCAGAAAACTTGGAAATCGCAAAGAAAACAAGTGTCACCTGCAGGGCCACCCCTATTACCACATCAATGAACAACATTCCAAGAAAGTTCATCTCAGTGTTATTTGTAATAATTAGCAACAACGACAAAAGAAAACAACCTAAATGTTCACAGTATAGGATTGGCTATTATAGCATGAGACGTGGGCACTGTTTTCTAACCAAGTTTCACATAAGGAGTTTCTAAAGCCATTGGATATTCTCCTATGAGACCAAACCTCTGGATTATTCTTTTCTCTTCTGGCCACACACACTGAAAAACAAGTTGAATGTTTGTCTGTAATCAAAGCATCTCAACAGGGAGGACAAAAGGTTAGAAACAATATCCTGGGAAGGATGCTTAGAGAAATCGAGGTCACTTGAGGCCAGACAGGGCTGGGAGGGGGGTGGCATATCAAGTATCTGAAAGGCCACCTGCCCCGGAAGATCACATTAGCTTGGTCCCCTGGCAGGTGGAACCAGGACTGATGTGGAAGCTGCAGGGACATGGATGTCAGCTCAGGGGGAAGAATCGTCTGCTCTGCAGAGAGGAGCAGCCGAGACTCTGCCCCCGTCTCTCTCCTCTGCATGTCCTGCTCTGAGCCACGGCAGAGTCCTCCTCAAGCTTATGTGCCTTCCTCCAGAACACCTCCCGCTGCTTACTTTTCTATGAAATAAAACCCCAGCCCTTAGCCTGGCATTCTGGGCCCTCTGTGACCTTATTCTTTCATCCCAGGGTCATTTTCCTCTCCCCGTAGCCTCCACCTGGTGCCCTTGGGCCACTCGCCCTGCCCGGGCAGGCTCTGCATCTTGCTGTCTCTGAGCCTCAGCACATTCTCTCCTCTCTGCTTCACACCACCCCCTGCCTTCATCTCTCCTCATTCAGCCCCTCCTGGGGCAGGTCCCAGCCACTCCACGTGCCACCAGTCAGATGGCCTCACCCCTCTTCTGCCTTCTGAAGCAGCTGACAGGTCCCTCTCCCAGGACACCACCACTTTCTTCCAGATTTAAGGTCAAGCGTGTACATGGCTCATTCTCCCTGTGAGGTTCAGTGGTCCTGGGAACAGGGGCCACCTCCTGTTCACCTGTCACCCTGCATACGGCCCAGTGCAGGATGTAATAGATAAATGTTCCAGAGGCTTCTCAGAGGGAGACCAAGTGACTTGTTCTTCTCAGCAGCTCTCCTTCTTACATTTGTTTTTGACTGGGTGCTTTTCCGCCTCCCATTCCAATTTGCTCCTTAAAACAGCTCTGTGAGTTAGGAAGGACAGTGACCCTCACCCCTTTTTCACATTGGGAGAAACTGAGGCCTGAGGGCTTAGGTGACTTATTCAATATCACACGCCTAGAAAGTGGCAACCCCCCC